TAGAATTAAATATTGTGCACAGAGACTTCGTGGGATCTACACTTGGTGTTAAATTAGTCTATTGCGTATGCATGTAGTTAGACTTGGAATCTTTCAACTCACTTATAGCTACATGTGTATTGATGAGACATAAAAAGTCCAGTTAGAAACCTTTTAAGTTTAATGAGTTTTACATATGTGAGTGATTGAGGGATCGGTTGAATCGTTAGCGTATCGATTATTAGCTAGGTTCTGTATAAGGATTATGAGATAACCCTGTCTAGCATAATTGACATTGTTAATTAATATTTCGTATGGATTGAGGTCATTGGAGGCCGTTTGATTGGTGTTCTAAAAGTCGCAAGGTTGGAAAACCCCCGTTAGCGAGGTAAGTGAGACTTTAAGTTTTGATACTTGCTTTTCTAAAATCCGTTTTGAAAATGTATTTTTCTCTGCCTGGTTCATGTGTTGGAACAAGCGTGCGCTTGGCGGAATCGGTGGTCTTAGACTAGCCGCAAATATATTATTTTTATGAAAAGTAAAAAAATAAAAAAATAAAAAATTATTTTATAAGTTGTTTGATGGCGTGATACAGCTGTGAGCCATGATGTTGAGCATGATACTTTGATACGGCTGTGAGCCATGGTGTTGAATTTGATACGGCTGTGCGCCATGATATTGAGTTTGATAGTTTGATACGGTTGTGAGCCATGTTGTTGAGTTTGATACGGCTGTGCGCCATGACACTTTGAGTTTGATAGTTTGATACGGCTGTGAGATGTTGTTGAGTTTGATACGGCTGTGCGCCATGATGTTGAGTTTGATAGTTTGATACGGCTGTGAGCCATGGTGTTGAGTTTGATACGGTTGTGCGCCATGATGTTGGGGCATTGTGTATGCCTTTCTACATCACCCGAGCATTGTGTATGCTTCTTGATATTTATATTTGGGGCATTGTGTATGCTTCAGTGAGCATTGTATATGCTCTGTTACACATTTGAGGCATTGTGGTGCCATTGTGGACTCGTAAAGGCGTTATTTAAGTTCTTTCACTGCAGTCATGACAAGTCCTTAGTGTATATTGTGTTAAGATATGTGTACTCTTGTTGGTTAATTCTTATTAACTCAGTTGATAAATATGTATTGCGTTATTATATAATTATCGTATTTATTATATCGTTCTTGTTGTGGTGTATTTGTATTTTCTAACACTTGTTCCAGAGGTATTCAGAGTGGAGGGTCGAGGATCTTACTGTATTATATTTACATATAACTCACTCCTTACCTGCATGTTTATGCAGATACTATTGGTGAAGACGGAGCTAATAGCTGACGAGTTCGCTAGAGTTGATTCGGTTATTGAGGTGAGCCGCCGCATTGTTCGTGGAGGCTGCCAAAAGAGTCTTTATCATTTATCCATATGATGTCTTTTGTAATTCTTTTAGATGCTCCATTGTCTAGTGTAGAAATTTGGGGTAGAGTTTTAAGTTTAATATTTTGAGATACTAATTGTTCATAATTAATTATCAAATTATTTGGATACTCATAATTAACCAAATATTGCAAATTAATGGTTAAGGTATAAAAGTATGGTTCGTCTGGCAGGTGATGTTAGTTGGGTCTCAGTCACGTCTAGGGGGTAATTTGGGACGTGACATGACTAGGTAAGTGTTTGTACAACATTTAATTAATAAATATACTAATAAAATTATGAGATGAGAATAAATATGCTTAAATCACAGTCCAACATTTCGTTTATCGTACTAACTACTAAACTACATGCATATGGATTGTAATGCGATACAATATTTACTTGAAATTTGGTCAAAACATTCCTATCCCTGGATTTAGATCTTTCACATTGTATTTGAGGGCGTTGAAGTTATTTGAGGGCTTTGTACAGTACCCTAAAAATACTCACTAACTAAATACTATATTACTAGACTAGAACTACATAATATAACGTTGCATGCGCAGATAAAAAGATTTAAACTATCATGCACATTAAAAAGCAACGACAAATAATTCTTTATACAAACAGTAACTAATAGCCTTTAAAAAATGGATAAGAGTTTTCTACACTAAGGGTGTGTTTGATAGGAAGAAAACAAATGGTTGCCAATTTTTTCGTGTTTGGCTCGTTTAAATATTTTGAAAAATATTTTCTTCATCAACTCATTTTTCTCCAATTGGAGAAAAATATTTTTCCTATCAAGAGAGGGGAAAACATTTTCCAAAACTCTTTCTCAAACTTCCTCACCCTATTCCCCATCACCACCAACCCACCCCCACACTCCCACCCCACCTCCCCACACCCTCTACCCCATCCCCACCATAAATAAAAATATTATTAATAGTACTTTCTTTTCATGTTACAAATAGATTTTTTTTTCATTTAAACAAAATGAGTATTTTCTTTTCATAATATAGAAAATGTATTTTCTTTCATCTTAACAAAAAAGTATTTTCTTTTCATGATGTAAAAATATATATTTTTCATTTCAACAAAATGAGTATTTTCTTTTCATGATGTAAAAAAAAGTATTTTCTTTTATTTCAATAAAATTAGTACTTTATTTTCATGTTGTAGAAAGAGTACTTTCTTTTTCAACCCAAAAAAAAGTATTTTCTTTTTAGTTATGGAGCGCAAATTTCAATGTTATTTTTGCTAACCTGAAAACTTTGGCTATTTTTTTTGGGGGGGGGGGGGGTGAGGAGGGAGCAAGGAAACATAGGGACTTGGGGGGGGGGGAGGGGGGAGGGGGGGGGAGGTGAGGAGAGTAGCATAAAAAAATATTTTCTACTCTTTAACCAAACATTAAAAAATATTTTTCGAAAAACGTTTTTACTCACCAACCAAACAAGGGAAAATAAGTGATAAAACCACTCATTTTCCATGAAAATATTTTCTAGGAAAACATATTTTCCATGGAAAATATTTTCTTTCGTACCAAACACCTTATATATTATTTATATCTATCCTTCGTTATACCATCGGGCCATATCTACCCTTGCTGTTGACCAAACCTTTTAAAAATACCCTCCACCTAGTGGAAAGCCAACAAATTAAAAAAAGACCTATTTTTTAAATATCCATTAATAACACGTTAAACTCCTTTTATTTATTGCACTTCTTCCTTACAGATTAGTCATATTATTCGTAGTCACTTGTTGAACTCAAAAAGTGAGAGACATAAAAGTACTGACAATCATATTCTTACAATATCCTTATTTTACGTTTATTACATTCTACCTTTTCCAATTTCTTTTTTTTCTAGCTTCTCTCTTCTTCTTTTTTCACCATATCGAACTGTACCGAGTATTCACTATGATTTTCTTTCCACCATGACTTGAATGTTTATAGCATCTTATTAGGTTGATAGTTCTAAAGTCTTAAGGCAGCTATCGAGGTATTCCTTCCTCCAACAGTGAGCATTTGATGATGAGTATTCACGCACCATGATTTTTTTATTCCACTTTAAGCATTTGGACAACGAGTAATTATCGCTAAATCACGCCTTAAAAATCAAAGTTAGATTCCAAGCTATGGGATGAGAAGATACTCATAACTCTTAGTAACAACTGAACTTATAATGAATAAAAATTAGAAAATAATTAAAGGAGATTCAATTTAATATCCAGATATAGTATAAGGAACTCATCAAGAATGAAAGAAAGTACAACAACAAGTTGGAAAGTAACTTAACAACCTAAGTACACTAACTTTATGTATTAACCAAACACAAGTAGTGTTAAAGTATATATCAGTAGTTACCAACATAAGTGTGCATTACAGTAGACAAAGGGATGTTATATTATAACCACAAAAAAATACAACCAAAAGTGACAACGTGACATCCCAATGCCACCATGAATAACTAAGAACCAAAAATATGAGTTCTTACTAATCCTACTGCCATCATCATTCTCGGTCTCTCTATAATGAATAAAATATATTAAGACATCTCAGAAATCTAGGTTCCGTATTTTTATGTGATGGGTTTAACGAGTAATGGGTTAATAATTTTTTTAAAATGATTATTTTATTAAACTAGTGGATTTATGTTGGATGAAGGGTATTTTTAAAAAGTTTTATTAACGGTAAGGGTAAATATGTCCCCATAGTATAACGGACGGTAAATATGAACAATATATCAAAATAAAAAGGTATATTTGACCATTTTCCCTTAAAAATAACACCGATAGCGTAAAAAATAAATCTTTAAACTATCGTCATGTAACTTACAAAGTTACAATCATATTATCAATACAATGCACTAAACGGAGTAGGTCAGTAGGATACATATACTACAACCTTCATTAACAAACAACCCCTAAATTTCCTGCTTTGTAATTATGATAATAATCGGTGGTCACTAAAAAGGAATTGTATTAAAAACTTTAAGATAATATTCCCTTCGGTCCACTTTAATTAATTTTTTGGTTATTTTTGTACATATTAAAAATTTATATTTTAGTATTAATTAAGAATAAAAATGGTCACATTAACCTTAATTTGTTCATTGAAAATATAACAAATAGTTATGCGCTCTTTGACGCGCATTCTGTCCCACGCTTCATACCTCCTCTTTCTTCTTAAGGTAAGATAAAGGGCCAGACATGATGGGGTAGGATCCGGTTGGCAATTTTTTTGGCTTGACCAAGAAGTCTTATGCCCTCCGAGTCGCACGGCGTTTTAACCGAAAGAACTTCTTGCGCAATTCATACTTATTGACCGGTCGAGGTCGAGTGATCTCAGGGGTTTAGGGGTGCTTTTCCTGCTGCGATTACCTCTCTATTTTCAAAAGTATATAGAATTGGTAGGCACGGGAAGTGAGTGAAGTAACATTGAAAAAAAGAATATATACCAAAAAGTCAAATATTATCGATTACAAAAAATCAAAAAATCGACATAGAGTAATAATATTCTAAATGTCAGCAATCTTTTGTGTTAAGCAAATTGATGTCTTAGTCATAATGGAGTTCCCAACTTTTTGTCAAAAGGTACAAAAAATGATCATGAAAAGAATTTATCTTGTCTCACTTCTTGGACCTGTAAAATGGCAGGTCACTGTATGATGAAAAATGAAAAAGAATTAAACTTTGGATCCTTTATAAATCAACCTTTCTCTTTCCTTTTCCTTTTCCACTGAAGGGTTTTGAACAAGACCACAACAGTCCTTTAGATTCTTTTACCTCTCTGATTCCCGCAGCTTTAGTATTGTCAATCAGTCATTACCGGCTACTGTAGAACAATGTGCATATTTCAAGCTCAAATTCTCCACTTTTTGCCCTGAATATGGCCACCCTTCTGGAATATTTGCGTAGAGGCATTCTTTTCTTGCTCTAATGAGTGTCATTTCCAAAAAAAAGGTATTTGGGTCTATCTTTTTTATGGGATTCTTGAATTTTTTGGTATCTTATTTATTGCATTAATGTATAAGGTGAGCTCCTATTTCTGGAAAAGTGTTGTTTTGGGTTTTCTTTTGCAAATCTGATCTACTTGCATCAGAGATTCATCAGCTCAGTATAGTTAAGTTTTCTGTTCAGATCCAAGTTTGGTTCTTTAACAAAAAATGACAATGAGTAACTCCATTATGCTGAAAATCATGACCCCCCCCCCCCCCCAACTTTCCAATGAATTCTCTCTGTCACCAAGCTCTTCTTTTTAAAAAAAAAAAATTAAATTGGTGTTAAATTTGAAATACTTCTTTGCTTATGGTTTAGTAATCTCCTTTCTGATTCTTTTTATGACTGGTGGTGTCCGGCCAGGTTGGCACAACTCGACTATTCCACCTAGTACATGCTACCTCCCACCATTATAGGTATCGGGACTCTAATTACCAAGACATAGGCTTAGTAATCTCATTTCTGATTAAGGACAGAATGAAACCATTTAAAGTCTGAAAAGAAAGAGGCCAAGATGTTGATCTTTCGATGTCCATTAACTGCAGAAACAATGCTCGGAAGAGAAGTATCATGCCTAGTTTTGGTGAAGGTTTAAAGGCCTATAACTAGATAGGCTTTGATAAATTGTTTGAGCTTTTCGTTTTCTGTCATTTATTTCTTTTGTTTGTCTTGATCAGTTAATCCAGCTACAGTTTTCCTTGATAAAATTAAAGCTAGAGAAATGAAGTGCATAGATTGGTCTGACCTATTTGATAATTAAGTATACTTATTATTGCTCTGCCTCAGAATTTTTTTTATCCTTGGAAATTGCAGAGGTTGAATCTTTAGATCTTAAAATAGACTTATTATTCATTGTAGTGTCTATTTTTCTTAGTAGAACTTGCTCTCTCTTTGAAGGTCACTGATTTCAACCCTATTCCTTGTTTGTTGAGCTTCTTGCCCATTATCTCTTATGATATCTCATCTTTAAAGGTAATATGTTTAGAATTTAACTTTTCATAGGATTTAAGTTCCTAATATGTCATTTTACTATGTGAATTGGACACCTCAAACTGAGCAAAATGCAGCTAGCCTAGCCTTTAACCAACTTGAGACTCAGTTACTACATCTTTTGAAAATGCTGTAGAGAACATTTTCAAATATCACTTCGCTTATGTTGTCAAAGAGCATGAATAACAAGGACCCATCATCAGAAGTTTGTAAGGAATACACTAATCAATTAGGAAGTCTTTTGGCACAGCAAACTTGTTTCTAGTTCCATAAGTTCCGTAACCATCCCCCAAATTCATCCTTTGGAACCTTCAACAATTTTTTCGGTGAACTTGCTAATCTACTTTTTCTACGTCTAATTCAGAAGTTGAACCTGGTTCACCACTTTTATCTTCCCAAGAATCATGAATGCAGGCATATTTTTGCTCCAAAAAAAGAAGATATAAGATATGGACTTATTTGTTTGTCAATTATGTGGGTTTGTGCATCCTATGTTGGCTGAACTTGGAGTAGTTGACACTTGATTTTCCTTGTTGCAGGTAGAAACTAGGTATTGAAGCATTCCTAGTTTTGCCTTGAGCATGAAATCAAAGTTGAAGAATGGCTTGTGTTCTGTGGTGCCTCTTCATTTACAAGGTGAATCTGCAACACGTTTTTGCATGTTCCCTAAAGTGAAGTCAGCTTGCTGTAGTCCAGGCAACACACCTGTTTACCTTAATGTATACGACTTGACACCCGTTAATGGCTATTTCTACTGGGCAGGCATAGGTGTCTTCCATACAGGGGTGGAAGGTGAGTTCACGCTTAATTTCTTATATGTATGTTTTTGAAATCAAAACCTTATTCTGGTCTTGCTTCTAGGACATTTATCTGTTCTTGTTTGGAGCATCTATTCTATGTTAATTTCTCGTTGGCCTAAAAACTGTGCTAGAGCCATCCCTGGCAAACTCAGAATCTTAAATGGTTATTAAAATTTAGAGCAACAACAAAAGTATTAGTGATAATGACGAGTAAAAACAACAGAAGTGGTAGCTCACTGCAACTCTCTCTTGTGTGCGCGCACGTGCGTAGCATGTGTGTATCACATTGATTACACACACTGACAATTAAGATAAACACTGATGAAATAATGGCATGACAATTATAGTGATGATATTACAATAGAATTAAGTTATTGCATGTCATAGAGTCAAAGCTGAAACATACTCCTCTCAACAAAGGGGTAAACATGGTGTTGGATCCATAATTTATGGAAGGCTGAAAAAGTTCAGTGCACCGCTTTAAATTCATTAGTCATTTGATTTTGAGGTGCTTCAGTTTTCAAAAATTCGCTAGAACGTTGGTTTGACCTTGGTCTTTGGCATGCATATCATGCTTAAAAACTGACATAGGAAGAATCAATTTACTTATTGAAAAAATAATAGAAGACATACATAGGGAGAATGCATCTAGACATATGTTGTATAGCACTACAATGAAAATTTTGAGTATTAGTTATCTAAGAAGTTCAAATTTGATTTGTTTTTTCCTTGAGATGATGAGGCAACAGTATTTTCTGGTACAAATATTTTCTCAAATGCTCTGTATAAATGAAATATTATATTTTTTCAAATGCTTTTATCATATTTGCAGTTCATGGTGTTGAATATGCTTTCGGAGCACATGACTATCCAACAAGTGGTGTATTTGAGCTTGAACCTCGTCAGTGCCCTGGCTTTAAATTTAGAAAGTCGGTGTTCATGGGAACAACATATTTGGATCCTATCCAGCTTAGAGAATTCATTGAGCGCCAATCAGTAAACTACAATGGTGACTCATATCATTTAATTGCCAAGAACTGTAATCATTTCTCGGATGATATCTGTTACAGGTTGACTGGGAAGCGGATGCCTAAATGGGTGAACCGGCTAGCAAGAGTAGGTCTGTAATTTAATATCTTCACTGTGTTTCTAGTTCTTTTTTCTTCCCAATAATCTAACACTTAATAAAACTATATATTTCTTGTCTTCTAAAAAAAAAAAAAAAATTTTTTTTGGGTATTCCTATAGGTTCATTATGCAACTGCATTCTTCCAGAAGCCCTCAAAACTTCCACGGTACGACATGATACAAATGTGCAAAACTATGACAGTGAGAAGAGGAAACTTAGAAGCTCTTTCAACTGTTTGTCATCAATCTCAATGCGTCAAGGTGAGAGAGAAGTATCAATGTCATCGCTGTTCTTGCACTCTCACTATAAAGGCTGCCTTCCACCTTGGGAATCCAAAAAATCTAGAAGCAGGTCTTTGAAGGAAGGATAAGGTCTTCGTTATTCTCTATATGGACATCCATTGTGAATACTAACTTCTTTGTCAGAATACCATTACAACGTATTGCCGTCTGTGTGCGTGTTGAATGGTGCAGTTGCTGGCCCTCCCATTTGACGATGAATCGTGCTTGTTGGCTGAGATTTCATTTGGTTTGCCGTTGGTGATTTTTGCCATTCTCTGAGTTCAGATTCTGGTGTTACAAGTTCTGCTATCCAGTTCACATTTTCATCCTGCAGGAAGATCACATCGCTACATCTGTGTCTTGAGTCCCAGAAATGTAATTGTTTGTTATTTCTCAGCCACTTTCTTATTTGATACTGAAAAAAGAGACGTTCTTGTTTCTTCTGGTGTAGAAATTTAGGAGCAATTTGCAAAGCTTTTTCTTATTCTTGTATTTTGAAGCTTATTATCACTGCAACATGAATTATACTGGGAAGAAACACCTGAGAGACTAGCTTATTTAAGTTTGAAAAAGATGAAGTGGTTACTCTTTCAGTTTCTAGTAAATTGATCATTATAAACTTGTGTATCCTAGTATAATTTGGTGTTATGTGTACATCATGTCCCTTTATAATTTTAAAATTAAGAAAATGAGTTTTTTAGATCTCTTATGTGTAAGACAGATTTCTCACGTGTAAAATCATTTCAAATCATTTTCTCAAATCTAATAAAATATGCATCAATTAATATGAGTATCATGATAAATTATGCACTTTATTTCTTATTTTTTTAAGGGCGTAAAAAATCAAAACGTGACTAGTAAAAGTGAATGGAAGGAGTACTTCCAACCGCATGTAACGTACCTGAGGATTAAGGAAGCAATCAATTTATTCAATTCTCTCGAAAAAATGAATAGTGTTCTTACCAAGACTATAAAGAACCCCTCATGCCAAGTTATCAATCACTACCCACAAGAAGAATTTTGATGTTTCAAAGATCCCTGCGATAACACTGGTTTTTCTAATCATTAACCCTTTGTTAGTCTCATCTATTTCTACTTATATAATATAGCGTCACTTAAACTTGCATTGATTAAGAGCCCGTTTGGACATAAAATTTCATGGTTCACTTTTTTTGAAATCAGCGTTTGTTCATAAAATTTTTAATTTTCACTTGAAGATGTATTTTGAAAATTTTCGAAAATTTGAAAAACTGCAAAAAACTGTTTTTTAAAATTTTCACTCAAATCACTCACAAAACTTCAAAAACAATCCAAACTGAAATTTATGTTCAAACACAACTCTAAATTTCAAATACTATTTTCACTTGAAATTTTTTTTCACCATTATTTCGAATTTTACAATTCTTATGTCCAAACGCCTACTAAGTTTCTGTTAATATTGGATATTGAAGTGTAGTATGGTTTCATTGGAAGGCACTATATTCCCTAAAAATGGATTTTTTTTCTTATTTTAATGTTATTCTGTTGAATAAAAAAATTTCATGTTGAGTGTGATAATGTTGCCTTTATTTCTTTATTTTCTTTAAATCTATCAACTCTCTGTGTAGTTTATTTGTTGATGTTCTTTAAAAAATAATTTTTAAATTTTCGCTTCAAATTTGGGGTTTTAACTTGATGTTCTAGAGGTAAGAAATATTTTACATTCATACCATCAATTAATCTTTGAAAGATTCTTTTTTTTGCAATGATCTCATTGTCCAGGAATCTTCAGTGATTTTGGTGAAGTTGATCGTCTCGAAGTGGAGTATTATACTTTCCTCTCTATAGTTTAATATTCTACTCTTTTTTCTCTTCTTTTGTTTCTTTTATATATCTTCTATGGAAGAAGGTAAAAAATGTGATTGGTATAGATGAATTTTATGAGATAAGGAATTTTTTTTAAGATGCTGGTCCAATTCCAGGAGGAAAAGGGATTTTGCCTATATTTAGAGTAACGATTTTTGTTGAATAAGTGATGGGTAAGAAAAAGTTAGAAGGAAGGAAATAAAGAAAAAAGGGAAAGGAAGACATGAAAAATGAGAAGAAAATGAAGCACCAAAAAGAACATTAGAACAAGGAGCAAGAAACTAGGTACTCAGTATTTCAAAACTAACATGAGTACCAAAAATACATAATAACATTTGTTTTATACATTACCGTTTGAGAATATTTTTGTAAGTGTTTGAAAATTTTAAGAACAAGGATATAGAATTATCTTAAACTAACAGATGCTAATATTTGTTTCACTTTCTCAAGTACCATTTTGACACAAATAGTGTTATTAGTGTTTCAACTGCTTTTTTAAAAATATTTTGTTGGTAAAATTTCTAAAAAAAAATTAGAAAGAATTTTTGTGAGAATATGAATAAATTATCTTCGAATAGACAAGTGAAATATCAAGAACGTACTCAAAAGCTATTCTTTGTGAACAAATTTTGATTGCTATTAAATAATAAAGAATTAATCTAATCACAACAATTAAGACCTTAAAATTAAGAGATATAACTAAAATCAGAATTTGCTTAAAATAAATTTTTATTAAAGACCATAAAGATACATGAATTGAAACTATCTTTTGTTGAGGTGAAAAAAAAAGGATGATACCTAATTAAAGGGTTATTTTCCTTTGGGAAGCTAAAGACAAGAAAAGTATAACAGAAATTCCTATATATATTCACTTAAATTCTTTATATCACTTTTAAATTAGATAAAGAGGAAAAAGCATGCTTCTTTTACTTCTTTTGCACTTGTACCAAACAATTAAGAAAGTAAACTATGAATCCTTTATGCGAATGAATAAATAAATAAATTATTCTCCTTTATCTTCATCCTTCCTTTGTTAAATCATACGTGATATAAAAGAACTAGAAAGTTTTAAATTAGCTCTATTTTTTTAAATTTTGTTAAATATTTGAATATTAGTAAAAGATCATTCAACTACAGCGTCTATGCCAATATAATGTACAGCTATATATGTAAGTGTTACCAATTATAAGAGGAAAGATATATGGCCAGCTAAACTTAATTAAAGAAAGGACTAACAACTTGATAGAACATGTCTTACAAGTTCATCATACTCCAAAAACGTTAGCTGTCTTTTAATAAGCGTATCAAAACAAAATCTGTGACATTCTATTCAGCATAATTGCTGATCTTATTATTGAAACCACTTAAGCTGGCAACTGACAACTTGGTCGTAGGCTAATAATAGGAAACGGTTCTCGTTTTCGACCCTTTATGATGCCATTTTGCGTATAAGAATTCTACTATATTTGACTCAGTTATATGCAATTAACTGATAACCATAGCACAGTTGGTCTCAGACCAATTAAGGGAAGAGGATTGCAGTGAGTTAACGGCCAACTTAAAATAATGTGACTACACTGAATCTTTTAAATGGATAAAAAATATTCATATATAACTAAAGTCTAATTTGGATAGTGATACATAATTAATTGATATATATTGATTGATCCATTACATTTCAAAAATTAAAAGAATATTCAGTTAATTAGAGATGGATGGAGCCTTGAAAAATACTGACATCCTGCACTTTAGTCCTGAAGCTCTCACGAATCCATAATTTAGTTCTAAGTTTGAGAGATTGTAGTCTTAAATATCTAACACTTTAGGGATCATTTGATATAATAGATAAACAAAAATAATTATGGGATAAAAATTTAGTATCACTTTATCCCTTATTTGGTTATTAATTTTGGGATAAGTTATCTCAGGATTAAAAATAGTAGCGTGATAATTTTTAACTGTCACATGATGAAATAGTAATAATAACTAATCTTAGCATAAAAATAATTAATTACAGCATAACTAATCAAACTCTGCCAAAAATAATTTGAATCCACTATGAGATTGACAGCAAGTCAGCAATTGCCTTAAAAAAAAAAAAAAAAAAAAAGTCAGCACTTGCCATCGAAGCTTCTAGCAGAAAATTCTAAATTCAGATATCTTTTTCCCTTAGCAGATATATTCAGATATCTAAGAAAGCTCCAAAAAGGCTCAGGACTTCTGGTCAACTTTGCTTGTGATATACTTAACCCAAAACATAATCTCAAATAGCTAAAGATCCCTATCAAATCCTCTAATCAAGAATTGCTTACAACCTACTTGGAGAAAAAGCTAGTAATAACTTTTTGCTACCTCAGATGATTCACAAGTCATAATTAGATAAAAGGTTGTGACAAATTTTGATTTTCTTAATTATGGGTAAAGGAGGAGGCTGTATGCCAAGCAAGAAGAAGTTTCCTATAAATGAATCAGCAGAGAGACCAGTAAGTCAAACTGAAGGAACTGATGTAACAGGCTCAGAAATAGAGGGGTCCAAGAAATTGAGAATATTTATTGTGTTTTATTCAATGTATGGACATATTGAAAGCTTGGCAAAGAGAATGAAAAAAGGGGTTGATGGAATTGAAGGTGTTGAAGGGGTTCTTTATAGGGTTCCTGAAACATTGACAACAGATGTTTTGGAAAAAATGAAAGTCCCACAAAAAGATGATGAGATTCCAGTGATATCTGTGGATGAGCTAGTTGAGGCTGATGGATTCTTGTTTGGATTTCCTACAAGATATGGATGTATGGCAGCTCAAATGAAGGCATTTTTCGACTCCACTGGACCATTGTGGAGACCACAGAAACTTGCTGGAGTGCCTGCAGGTTTCTTTGTGAGTACTGGTACACAAGGAGGTGGGCAAGAGACCACTGCGTAAGTCTAATCTTCTGTCATTCATTTACTTGTGTTTATACTATTACTCATTTCTTTTATGTCGATGATGTCTGATTACTGTGTGAGCTAATTGTAACTTTCAGTTGGATTTAATGCATTTGGACAATGTCAAAGGTGTATATGACATATATGTAAAACAAAAAAAGAATAGAGTAATATTAATAATTTCTAGTTTGAGACAACAAAAGGTGGCACCAATCCGTATCAACTGAGACCCTTCAGATAATTGTTCCACCTTGTTGCCGATGAAGAGACAAAAGAAATGGAGAACACAAGCAGAATCTAAGTACATAACATAATTGATGAGAGTGCATACTAATGACTAGTCTTTAAACTCATTGCAAAATATGCATGTATAGTAGCTTCCCAGAGCATCCAAAGTATTGTCTTCAACTGGTGCTCCGTTTAACTGGTAGTGATAAAGATAAGAGAACCCCATGATCTCAATATTGGCTTGCACGGAATCATTGAAGAAGGAGGCTCTAGAGACCTCAAAAATATAGTTTCTAACTAATCTTCCAACAAATGGCTGAAATACTTGAGATATTTAGTTATTCATCTACCAACAGACCTATTAAGGCATCAAGATCACATACCAATTATCAGTATACATTTTAGTTAGCTAACCGGTTGACTACTGTGGTAACTATCCATTACTGTGACAGAGATCTGTCGCTGTAGCTGTCACCGACCATATTAGGGTAGAAATCATCTTGGAGGTATTAATCTAATATATTTGCTATAATTGTAGTACCTCTCTTGGGCTAATAGGTCTCTTGGCTATTTTATTGTTTACAGATGATGACAGTACATAATTTTGATGTTGATATGCATGCTTACATAAGACCACAGTAACACATGTCGACTGTCGTATATATCAAAATTACTTCAATCTTGAACGTTATTGTTCTCCTAGAAAAATAGCCCTTGTGTGGTTCCTATTAAATATAGTACTCCCTCCGTTTCAATTTAGACTAGGTAGTTTGACTCGGCACGGAGTTTAAGAAAAAAGAAGAAAGACTTTTGAAACTTGTGGTCTTAAAAGCTTTGTGGGGCAATGACATTTGTGTGGTTATAAAAGCTTCTCATTAAGGGTAAAATGGGTAAAATGAAGAGTTTAAAGTTGAGTTATTTTCAAATTTAGAAATGTGTCATTTATTTTGGAACAGACTAAAAAGGAAAGTACCTCGTCTAATCTGAAACGGAGGGTATGTTTATTGAAGCATAATTATCATTTCATAATTTGCAACCTTGGGAAGTCATGATGCAAGTGGATATATGAGCTTAAACTCAGAGAGGGAAATTAGATGTTGGTTCTCTCCTTTTATTCTTTTTCTAGTCTTTTAACCTTTTTCCTTGTTGAGTGGAATGGGCACAAATAAAGCTTCATGTTTAAAAAGGACTTGTACAGTTGAGATTGAGGTGTGGCTGATTGATTGATTTTTTTTTCTTTTCCCTTCTTCCCTCTCCCAATTCTGTGTGTTGTAGATAGGTAAGGACTTGAGAAGATGGACTGAAGATGCCAATAGTAGTAGGTTGATGGCGATGACTTCTGGTTGAGTGGTTTCCTGAATTTAGAGTATAAGGATGGTTGCAGGATCTACGGCTGAATTGGATGCGGATTAGTTATTTTATAAAAATGTCTTGCTCGTATATGTTGTCGTAGAATCCTTAAACATGACATTTTCTCCACAAATTGACATAGTCTATGAAGGACTATAGCTGTACTCTTATGCAATCTCTATTTCCTTATCTTCTGTTATCTTTTCTTCTTTCTGATGATTCTTTTAAATTCTTCTTCCAATATTAATCATGCAAGCGATTGAGGGACAGAGCTTGGTAGACAACAATCTGCTAAATCCAGTGGACATGTTGAAATCTTTCTTTTTGCTTATTGCAGCTGGACAGCAATCACTCAATTAGCTCACCATGGTATGGTCTATGTTCCAATAGGATACACATTTGGAGCAGGGATGTTTAGAATGGATTCAATAAGAGGAGGTTCTCCATATGGAGCTGGAACTTTCTCAGGAGATGGTAGCAGGGAACCTAGTGAACAAGAGTTGGCGCTGGCCGAGCACCAGGGCAAGTTCATGGCAATGACAGTTAAGAAAATGGCTCGACACCATTCATTACCACCAGATAATCCCAGCTGCTGACGCTTTTAGAAACGGGAAAAGGTCCAAATTTACCCCTTTACTATATTATAATATCTTAATTTTACCTTCGGTGAAAGCCATTCATAACCCTTGTCATTAGCATAATGTTTCATATTTGCCCTTGCTTCTAATAGAGCTCCAACATAGACGGTGACTTTCACGCTTCAAATTTACCTTATGTTATACTTCAGGTTGGAGTTGTTAACAGTCAAGGGCAAATGCGAGACGATTTGGTAACGACGAGGATATGAATGGCTCCAAAGTATAACATAGGATATAATTAAGATATTCTATATAGTAGAGGGGAATTCTTTATCCTTTTCCCTTTAGAAACACCCTACATGCAATATTTGTACATTCCTTAAAAACACTTTCTACACTGTATGTATCAAAATCTGTGTGTCTCTGGAAAGTAGTGTCGTTTCATTTATTTGTATTTGATCTTTAGATCCTACAATGGGATTGGAGGTGGGGAGGATGGGAGTTGATGTACTATAAATGCTGAATTATGGTTTGTGATCCATTTGTTAATATGTTTTTGCCTCTTGTTTTGAAGGGGACCGACGAACTCTTGGTGATCTGAAGACATTAGATGGGCATTGCTTGTTGCTCAAATCTGAAAATATATCCAAGAGTTCTTTAAAAAAATTGACCATTTAGAAAATATGTTCTGCTTATGACAATGTGAGATGAGCAGTGTTTGGTGAGCAGAGTTATCTGATATGTGGCTCATGTATAATACCTTGAATGGTTATAAGTTTGCTTCAAGACAAAACATTAATTTTTTTAAAAAACAAAATCATTCTACTAGATAAATAAAAAAGTAGTAATTTTTTTCAATATAATGCTCAAAAATTAAAAACCGAGTGAATTTTAAAAAAAGTCATAATTCATATTTCGTTAATTAATTGGGTTACTTCAGGAATGATTATTCAATTTTACTTTATTACATTAAATTATTTTTAATATACCAAAAAAGGCACTCAACTTTATCTAAATATCACAAAAAAGTCACTAGATAATTTTTTATAACAAAAAAAATACTAAACTTTTGCCGTATCCTTGAATAAATTATGTACATCACCATGTTTCGTTGTTTCTTGCTAGGGACTTTCTTCATGTGATATTTAGTCAAAAGTTAAAGTGATTTTTTTGTTATAGGAAATAATTTATTGAGTTTTTATTTTTCTTAGCTAAGATAGAGGAGTCCAGAACCCATTTGTGGTTCTTTTGGACAAGTATAACGAAAATGTGTGTTTTAAAAAAAGAGTACATTTTTATATATAGCGCTCTTTTAAAGAGCGCTATACTTTAACGGAGTTTTGGCCGTTAAAGTATACCGTTCTTTAAAAGAGCGCTATATATATATATATATAACGCCACTGTAAACCGCGCTATATACATAGCGCGGTATATAACCGCGTTATACCTATTTTGTGGGCCCACCAATAAGTCTCTTGCGTTTAACTGACATAACAATAATTCAAATGGGTATAGCGCTCTTTAAAAGAGCGCAATACCTAAAAGAATTCAGGCATTGCCTTATTTAAAGGCGTTAGGATTTTACAAAAATCCATTCAAAAATATTCCTAACTCTCGTTCAAATTTTTCTTCTTGTTAAATTCTCAAGCATTTTTTCATAATGTCTAAAAAGCGAAAAGTAAGGGTTTCATTATATTTGGGGGGTGAGGTTGTGGTGGCGAATAACTCTGTTAGCTATAGTTTATCTCCACAGTGTCATGTTAAGTTGCCACTTACAATGGAGTACGATAGATTGGAATCGTTGTTATGTAATAAAATGAGTGTGAGGAAACGCTCGGTGAACCTTAAAGTAACCGGAAGATATCCGTATTCCGTCACTCCGCAAGGAGTTGCTTGTTACGCTGAATTTAACATCGACGATGATGAAACTTTGAGGGATTTTTTGAGGACTCCGGATGAATACCGGGAATTTCTTGTGATAAAAATGTTGCAAATGTACGTCAAGGTCGAAGACGTTCGCAATAATGAGGTTGCGCATAGTATGGATAACCCTCAGTCATCGGGTGGTTATTCTGGAGCAGTTTTTGCCGGACAGGTTCCGGATGAAAGAGTTTGCCCTGATTTAAACTTATCACCACGGGCGAATGAGGAGCGAAAAAATAATTTCTCTCCTACTTTACATAATCTACAAGACGAGTGGTAAACTTCAATTTTCCTTAGTGTTACGATGTATATTTTTGTTGTATTGAATTTGTATTAACACTCATATATTCCACATGGGGTACCGGCCAGATATGATTTTTACAAGTTATGAACCCACGCCCAGTTGGAATATGTGTAGTTCTGGTGTGTTGGATCATGGTGGTCCATCCGGGAGTCATCACCAACATGATAATGTCCATCAAGGAATGTCAACACGTTAAGACTTGTAAGTGAAGTGATACAGCTATATGGAAAGTATTTATTAATTTTAGTAGCTTATTATTTTGTTGTTTGTGCAGTGAAAACGAGCAAGTTGAACCACCTGTCCTCACTCAATTGCCCGAAGATGATATATTAAATCGGGATCTGGCAGATGCACAGAGTGAGGAAGAGAATAATGATTATGACAACAATGCCGATGATTCCGGAGACGACACACCCTTCCCTCATGAGGATGGTGACGAGGAGAAAGAGAATGAAGGACCTGATTTGACGAGGGAATATGCTCCACCCCCCGTTAGACCAAGAGTGTACGAGTCCCAAGGACCGTTTCATTCAAGGAAGATTCCCTACCTTGATAACTTGCCAAGTATGCCGGATGTGGATACTCTCACAAGGGATTTTGATGAAATTCGAACAGCAATGTGGGATGATTCTAGACCAACGGTGCTGGCAAAGGGCATGTTTTTTCCTGATAAAGTGTGCCTAAGCAGGGCAGCAAAAATGTACAGCGTAAAAGAGTATCGTGAGATAACGGTATGGGAGTCAAGTCCAGATGTATACAAGGTTGTTTGTCGTAGATGGTTTACGGGTTGTCATTGGATGCTGCGTGCGAGTAAGAAGAACACAGGTATGTGGAAAGTGGGTAAATATATTCCCACCCACAGATATGAAATGGACACATTCAATGGGAATCACTACAACTTGGATATTGACTTGATTTCTCTTGTCCTTATTCCACACCTTGAAGCGTCCATAAGGTATAAAATCAAAGAGTGCATTACATCAGTCCACCAGGAATATGGCCATACCATTACCAAAAGAAAGGCATTTCTCGGGCGCAAACGTGCGTTTGAAATTGTTTATGGTAACTGGGATAAGTCATTTGTAGCTCTACCCAAGTACATGGCCGCACTGCAATACTTTAACCCCGAGACGGTTGTTGAATGGAAGCTTGAGCGGAGTCCGGAAAAACCAGAATATATATTCAATTACGTGTTCTGGGCATTTAAACCACCAATTAATGGTTTTTCGCATTGCCGGCCGGTAATATCCATAGACGGCACTCATGTCTATGGAAAGTATGATATCAAGCTGTTGATAGCCGTTGTAGTAAATTCTAATAGACAAATATTTCCTCTAGCTTTTGCTATTTGTGCCAATGAAAGCCAAGAGACGTGGACGCTGTTTTTGAACTATTTGAAAGAGCACGTTGTCAAACAGCGTTCCGGCATTTGTCTAATATCTGATCGGCATGATGGTATCTTAAGTTCTATAGAGAACTTGCGTGCATGGCAAGAACCTTATGCCTACCACCGTTACTGTGTGAGGCACTTTAAGGCCAATTTCCAGAAGGCATATCCCAATAAGGATCTGCATGATTTGATGTGGATGGCAGCAATAGACCACCAAGAGCATAAATTCCGGAGGTATATGGAATCTATCAGGCAGGAAGACGAGAGAGCCTATCATTGGTTGATGCGACATGAGCTTCACAAGTGGACTTTGCATGCGGATGGTAGAAGAAGATGGGGAATTCTGACTACAAACGTGTCAGAATCTTTCAACGGGTTATTGAAGTCGGCAAGAGGATTGCCTGTCACTGCCATGGTGCGGATGTCATTCAAGCAGATGGTGGAGAGGTTTGTTGAAAGGGCTGCAGCTGCAACGCCATTGATGGAAAGGGGTGTTAAATTTATGCCACTGCCGATGAAGAGATTTGAGAAATGCAGGCGACGAGCACATTGGCATTCATTTTTGCAGTATGATCACGACAGAAATATTTTTGAAGTTCGCACCGCTATCCATCAAAATCGGGGGGAATGATGTACATACCATAAATGAATCTAGAAGGTTATGCTCTTGTGGGAAATGGTCCATCTACCACATGCCGTGCTCACATGTCATCAGGTGCTTTCAACATACAGGTTTAGGGCCAACCAACTACATTGATAAATAATATAGTGTTGCTGCTTACTTAAACACTTATAGTGGGCAGTTGCAGCCAGTGGGTGCTGAGCATTATTGGCCGCCAGAACCATTTAAAATGGTGTGTAACAAGGACTATTTGCGTCGAATATAGTTGCAGAAGAGAATGTGTATACGGAACCAAATGGATGTTAGCGATACCGTTTATGCATGCAAATATGGTATATGCTCGCAAACAGGACACGACCGTCGAAAATGTCCTTCGGCTGGTTTGGGTGGCGGTGGTAATCAAGCTCGTGGTGGGTGTTCTTCTAATGTGCCCAACTATCAATGAGTTTATGTTGTAATAAGTAGTTGTTTTATTTATGTTGCAAGATGTATCAAATAAAATTATGTTTCCATTGTTGTTAAATCTTATTGATATTTAATATTTTTCAGTTGAGTAAATTAATGCATTTCTCCCTCCCGTTCATGTAATCAAAGTATTGGATTAAAAAATAAAAAAATATATGAATATATTTGATAAATATAGTTGATAAATATAGTTCAAAAATAGTTGAGTTAAAGGTAGATTTCTGATAAATATGTGAATACACATAGCGCGGTTAAAAACTACGTTATGTGAATATATATATCGCGGTTAAATACTACATTATGTGTATTGTCTTGTCGAACTGAAAAGCTGTCCGTCTGAGAAAAAGTTGTTTTGTATCCGTAATCATCTTTAGCATGCAAAGCATATCGTGGTTAAATACTGCGTTATGTGAATATATATAGCGCGGTTAAATACTACGTTATGTGTGTTGCCTTGCCTATAAATAACGGGCGCATTCTAGTTATTTTCTGCGCTTAACAATAACCAATAGCAAATGTCTGAACGCCTTTATGTACCAAGGTGCCAGTGCGGCAAAAAATATTTGATGAATGACTGTTGGGATGATGGTGAAGTTGGACGCCGCTACTGGATGTGTGTGAACAAGTTTTATAGGGTTCCCGACGAACCTTTTTGCAATTTTGAGGTATGGATTGATGAACCTTGTAACCAGGAATGCTACAAACGATCTTTGCAGTATCTTCATGATTTGACCTTAAAACAGTGTGAATATGAAAAAGAATATAAACGAGAAATTGCAGAGTTGAAGGAGAAACTGAAAGAGGCAGAATTAGAAAAAAATAAGATGGAAGATAAATTTAAGTGG